AAAGCCATGTAATAGAACTGAAAAATTGTTTGCTTTGATAGATGAGTAAAAATAAAGCAGTTAAAGTGGTAGCACATGCAGACACAGTGAGAAAGTCAGTTTCAGTATTCCCTAAACATTATTACTGTCAAATAGGAATACAATAACTTATTTTGCAGGGATTTGTCATTTTTATACATTTGAATATACTTGTATAAGTATTCCCTGAAATGTGGAAAGGAGATTGGAAGATGGGACATTTAAATAAATCCTTTCCCAAGTAAGAAATAATAATCACCATAACTACCTAGTTACTTAAAAATGACCACAGATGGACTTTTAGAGAAACAAATCAAAATAATTATACGCACAAGCACAGCTTCACAGGTTTAAGTCTTTTTTAAAATAAGGGCATGCATATGTCCTTGGAGGATAAAAACAACACATTTTTATCTATTAATTTTTACATAATTTGTATTCATGCTTTTGTGAAGTTTATTTAGCATGTTAGTTAATTGATACTCATAAGTTCCAAGATATGTCATTTCTAAACAACTTTATTAATTTCCTAATAAATTTATACCTAAACCACAGACCATAAGAATCAAGAGCCATCTGAAAAATAATTTCCTATCTTCACTTCCCTCATGTTTTGGAGCAAAGAGTTTGTTTCTTATTTGTTTTTCTCATTTTCTCATTGTCAGCAATTCTTGCAGCAGCAACAGCATAAGTCCTAAACTTCTGAAGGATTCATAAAACTGTGAAAATGTTTTGGATTTTGCAAATTAAATAATGTTTTCTAAATATTGAAGATCAAACGGCTGGGAATCAAGAACTACAAGACCAAAGCTAGAGACAGAGGTCATAGTGATACTAGCTAGAGTTTAATATTCTCCTTTTCCAGAAGCCCTGCAATTATTTATAATATTGATGCAGGAATAAAATAAAGGCTGGAGAGAGCCCCTGAAAACCCAAGGAGGAAATTATGGGATTAACTTGCTGCCCTAGGAAGACTCCCTAAGTAAATTGAATCTATATAAGAAAAGACAGTCGAATGTAAAATCCAAACTAAATTTTAGAAGTATTTTTAACTCACTGGAATGCAAGAAAACTTAATTCTTTTCTAGTAATAGTCATGACACTCAGCAAAGGTTATTACCACAGCCTTCTGTATCACTGGCAACTGCCCACGTGTGATCTAAGCAGATTCTAGTATTCCACACGAACTTGGGGCAAAAATTTTAATGGTATTTTGAAAAATGTACACATTTCATATAAACTTATAAACAGATGTAGAATTGTGCATAGCAAGAGTATTAAATGAACCAATCTGAAATGTTTGTGCAAATAAATACTCAATATATAAAAAAGAATGTCTCTATTTTTAGTAACTCAGATATTTTATATTGTAAAAGTAGAGAAAAACAATTTGGTATTTAAAAGTTTTAGTAGAATAGAAACTATTTTTAAGAATAGACTAAGAATCATACAAGGATTAAAGCAGTGCCTTTGAAAAAGAAAATCAAGTGTATTTAATACTAGCTGTTAGGGAAGTAAATAATAAAAGATCATTTTGAAGAGCACACCTGTATGAATAAACCATCTATACATTATAATTTGAGGAGAGATTTCTCTTGTAATGTGCTATGTAGAAACTAATCCATTTCTTTTACAAATAAGAAAATAGGAATAGCACAATTATATATTTCACTCTAATTCTCACCTGTTTGTATCATCTAGTTATTTTCCTGACATTAAATAAATTTAAATATAGATTGCATTTTTAAAATATGAAGAATTATCTAAATATATTTTCTTCCTATGGAAAATGGGAATTATAACAGTATTTAGCCCATGGTGTTACTATAAGTCAAAAAATAAAAAAAAAAATAAAATAAAGTATATAATGTTCTTAGCACAGTACTTGATACAGAGCAAACACTTAATAAATGCCAGTATTATATTTTAAATTAATGCTTCTTTATAAAAATCCAGTTTTCTGTTTGTTTCAACAGGAAAATTTTTCTCCATTTTCTGGCAAAAATTTCTAAGGATGATTTTCTGCAGACACAGAATATTGGAAAGGCCACTAGATTTAGAGTTGTGTTTAGTATTGACAAATATTTTTGGGCACCTGCTATATATTGATCATAGAAGTGAGCTCCTGTTTTAGTTCCTAGAGGCATGTCCCAATAAAACACAATTCTTGGCCTGGAGAACATCACCGTCCTGACAGGAGACAATTTATGTACAGGTAGACCAATAGAGTATGATAGAGTATGGCTGACAAGCTGGGCACCATGTTGCCCTTGGGAGGGTCACCTGACCTGGTTAGAAAGGAGACAGGAATAGCCTAAGACTTCACAGTTGAGTTGTAATCTCATTCTGAAGCACTGTGGAGATTGGTAGGAGAAGAGAGGAGAAACGTTTTAAGCAGAAAGAGAGCACATTGGTCAAGTATGGAGATACATGAGTGTGTTCCAACTAATTTACATAGTAGCTCCCAATTTCTGTGCAAGCCATTCAACCCTTTGAATAAGTTTTCCTTGCTATAAGTTGAGAATACCAAAACATGTATGCTATTTCTTCTTGATGAGTTTCTTGGAGGGAGGGATTAAGTAAATAATAGGTGTATGAGTATTTTTATACCTTAGAGTCTGGTGAGAGTATTAGTTATAATATTAGTATAATTAGTATTTATTTTTTTAAATTAGTTATTCAATCAATAAATTTACTTATTGAATTGCCACTAAAATATTTCAGGGTCTCTGAGTTCTTTATTTTTGCTACTCATTTCAGTATGAACTCATTTGATCTCCACAACTACTTTACAAACAAACTTTAATTGCCCAATATCACACAGCTAGTATTTGATAAAGCATGATTTAAACCCATTAGTCTGCCTTCCCAACTCAAAAGTACAACTCCTGAGCTTACCATCTTGCTATATTATGTCATTGTTATCTATTATTTGACATGCAACATATCTAGTGCCAGGGACAGAGGCATAAATAGAATGGTTCTTGCATTTTGGGAGCACCCTCCCAGTCTTATGGGCACCCAGTTAAGAATGATGATTAGGATAAGAACATGATTGGTATTATCAGTTATGGAGGAAGGATATCAGGTCTAGGACAAGGATATAAAAAGGCTTACTTGAGGATGTGATACAGGGACTGAAACATGAGAGATGTTCTGACAGAATCAGGCAAAGAAATTAAGAAGGACATTTCAGGCAGAAAGCCTAAAGATAAAGTGACCAATCATTCATTCCTGTTAGTCTGGGATGGTCTCATTTTAGAATTATTAATAAAAACCACTTTAACTCTCAGCAGTGTCCTGGTTTGGACGATAAATTATATGGCCACCTTACCTGAGGGCAGGGACATAGAGTTGTGAGCAAACATAGTATATTTGGGAAAATATAAGCAGTTTATCATGACTAGAATTCAGGATGTGAGATGGGAATTGAATTAGAGAGTTTGGGGATACAGCATGAAGAGCTTGCTCTTCTGATGAGGGGATTTTAAGTTTCATTTGAAGGTAATGGCAAGTCACTAAAAGGTTTTAACTGAAAGAAATAATGTGGTTCAATTATGCTTTAAAAGATCACTCTGAGATTCAATTCATACACTGAAGAAAATGTATCCTTACATTGCGAGATTGGATAGAGAAAGGAAAAACCTTCATTCAACACATATTTAATAAGGCTCTACTACATGCTGGCATCATGTTAAATTCTTAGGATACATTAGTGAATAAATTACATTCTGGTGGGGGAAGTCACTGTAACAACAAACATAGTAAATGTAGAACACAGTAAGAAGGATTGAGATTGTGTTTCAGTTTTAAATAAAGTGACCAGGGAAGGCTTTTAGTTTCATATTTGAGAAAAGACCTAAAGATATCAAGGAAGTTGGCCATTTAGATATTTGAGAGATGTCCCATCTGGAACGAATAGCCAGTGTAAAGACTTTGATGTGAGAGTGTGGCTGGGAATTCCAAAGAACAGAATTAGGCTGGTGTG